TAAATTCCATAACATAAAAATCATACTAAAAACTCATTCGACCCCTCATATTAAACTCAAGTTTAATATGTTCTATATATTATTTCTCAATAATTTTAGATGAGTGCTTGAGCATGAACGTCGTCGTTCCACCTCTATTCGTCGTGGTCGCCAGAATTCACAACGGGCCTCAAACGTGAATCGTGATATCAATGATGATATCAATGCCGATGAGGGACATGCTAATGACGGACACGTCCAAACTCCTCCCTCCCAACAATCATAAGCGCATATCGGGGTGCATGGGGATGGGGCATCAACCTCCAATGCACCTCCTCCATCTCGTGCAATGTATGCTCCCCCCCCCCCCCCCCCCCAACCCAAGAAGAGCGCCTCAATCCCGGTTCGCTTGAGGCGACACCTCAATCAATTCATAGGTAATTAAAAACTAACACTGTCTAATACTCTGTATAAAACAGTATAATCTACACATCTAAGAATTATTACAATTTTTTTATCAATTATCAATTTTTTTGAAGCGATCCCGAAGTCTTAAATAGAATCAAGAGTATTGTTTGTGGTCATTTCACGGGGCCTTGGTCGACTTATGGCGAGGTTCCGGCGGCCACTCGTGAACTATGGTGGCGGTTGTTCAAGGTAAAAATAAATAATTTTTGTTACATTTTAATAACTTAAATTTAACAAATGATATATCAATGTTTTTAATGAAGGTTTCCCATCGGTGGCATGCAGGCATAGACCAAACTATTCTCAAAGAATACAATTCTAGGATCTCGGGGTTGTTGAGACCGACTTTAGGACTGCCCGGTCTTCCGGTCGAAAGCCAAGATTCCTTGGTGATGATGTGTGGGAGATGCTTTGCCGACATTGGGCCACGGATCCCGTATTTTTGATGAGAAGCGAAGCAGCCAAGGCAAACCGGAACTCGGAAAAAGCCAAAGAAGTACAATGGCATGGGGGGCGCAAACCCCAAAGTCAACATTAAAAAAATCTCGTAAATTCTAATTAATTAAAATCATTTCCATTACATTCCCTAATGTATATATATTTTTTAAATAACTTTAAAATCCGTGTAGGAAGGATCTGGACCCGTGAAAAAGGGACACAGCATGGAAACTCATGATACATTGTTGGACGAAGAAGGGTGCTGGAACGTCGCATCCCCGCCTTTCCGAAATTGAAGTAAATAATGAAACTTCAATAATTCAATAAATTCTGAATTTTTTTTCTCTTGTATAATAAATTTTTGAACTTGTAGAAGAAATATGAGGAAGAGCGGGGGAAAAGAGTTGATGAGCTAGGTGACTCGGATGTCGAACTTGATGAAAGTCAAGATGATGAAGCCATCTTGGCGGCAACCGGAGTTTACAAGAGCCGGGTGCCGCTTATGGGTTCTGAAGGTTTACGGATCCTGGAGAAGTCCAAAGGAGCTAGCTCATCTTCTCATTCAGTGTATGATGATCGGGTTACCCGCCTCGAGAAACAATTGGAGGAACGTGATGCAGAGGCTCTAAGGTGGGATGAAGAGGCTCGGATACGGGATGAAGAGGCAAGAAGAACTAGAGAAAGGTTGGAAGAGATGGAACGACAAATGCATATTTTCAACGCCACCTATCGCCCATCCATGCACATACAACACCTCGAGACTACCCCACAAATTCCCTTCATGGGCAATATGGGCAGTATGGGCAGTAAGGGTTTTGCTAATTATAGCCATCTCTCCAACAATTTTCCATATGCATATTATGATACTCCATCCCTGACTCCCGGAGCTCAAGCAAACCGTGGCAGCAGCCGAGCTGGCAGCCGTGGTGGCAGTCGAGGAAGCTATCGTGGTGGCAGCCGTAGCCACGTCAGGCAACCCGATCATCGCGAGGAACCTTCTTATGATGATGATGATATTTATGATGACCATGATGGTTTGTAATAACTAGTTTATTGACATTTTAATGTTTATTAAATTTTGGTTACTGTACGAATTTTAATGATTTTTATTATATAATGTTGGTTTGATTGCTTGCAAAAAATGTTTAATTTATTATAAACAATGTTTATTAAATATAATTTTTTGAAAATGCGCCGAAACTTTAATGATTTAAAATGTTTATTAAATAAACTTTTAAATTTGAATTAAAAAATGCGCCGATTTTTTTTTTAAATATAAAAAGTTTGTCACGGACGCGTCTGTGACAAAATATAAATTCAGTTTTTTTTAAAAGAGCGCTGAAAATACTGTGATTTTTTTAAAAAAAATTAAACCGTTTGTCACGGATTCTATCTGTGACAAGATCAAAAATTTTGAATATTTTTGAAATTTTTAAAGTACTCGCCCAGCTTGTTTTGAAATTTTTCAAAAATTTTCAAAAATTTTTGTCACGGATATTTCCGTGACAAAATGAAAATTTTGAATTCCGCATCTCGTTTCAAATACCCGTCCAGCCTATTTCGAAAACTTTTTTTAAATTTGCAAAAACTTTGTCACGGATAATTCCGTGACAAATAATTAAATTTTTTTAAAATAAAAAAAGTTAGTCACGGCTGTGGCCGTGACAAATAAGGGGCGGTGTAGTTCCGATGAAGTATTTTGTCACGGACGGTGGCCATGACAAATCCGTGACAAACAGTGTCACGGACCGTTGGCCGTGACAACAACTTTGTCACGTCCCCGATGTCACGGATTTGGTCCGTGACAACGTCCGTGACAAAAATCATCTATCACGGATTTTTTGAACTGCCGTCCGTGACAAAATCCGTGACGAATCGGATGTTTTTTTGTAGTCAACGGAATGAGTGTTTCTTCGCCTAGATTCGTTTTTCAATCGTCATCCACTTGCTAGGTTCATCTATTTTTTCCGAAAAAGAATTTTTCTATTTCAGTTTGGGAAATCATCTTGGCCGAAATCCAGCCGATTCAAACCGAGTTCAAGGTAAATATAATTCTTCTTCTAAAATGTATAATCCATAATCAATTTTTAATTGATTTCCAATTTGCTAGGTTTACACGGAGATGGCTATGACCAATTGATTTATTAAATATTTTGTTAGGATGGTATTTTGTTCATCACAATTAGTCACTCGCTGCATTTCTTAGAAAAACATCCTGGTAAATTTTTCTTTAGAATCTTGAGGTTAAGATTGATAAAACTAAATTGAGAGCAAAGTGGTTGTTAAAATTATTGAATAAGTATTACTACAATGGTCTTTTACTTGCCTCACATATGTGTCATCACCTCATTCCCGAATGATTAACTTCACATTTTAATCTTTTCTACTCCAAATCAGGTTTGTCAATTAGGTTTAGTTTTCGACTAGATTCAAATATCAATTCACACTATCTATACATTGCATGAAAGGTTGAACACTTGATTTATAGATTATTACTATGTTCTAGCAGATTATATGTGTCATCTCAAAGTCGGATGATAAGAAGTCTTTAAGATTCAATCGAGTAAGTCATAATGTTCATTTTATAAGCTCATAAGTTACATTAGAACATGTCAACATTATGAAATTATAAAAGATGTGTTCTTTTTTAGTTGCAACATTAGTGAATTTTATACTATTTACATGCTCAACTAATGATTACTTATTCAATTTCACTCTATTCATTCGTTTTCAATTTCTCTAAATTATTAATTGTAGAGTCTCTAGATTATTTCTTGAAAAACTGGTTTTCGAAGCTTCAATTCCGCTTATTTTTTGTTTCTTTGGATCTGATTACTCATATCACATATTCACATGTATGGTGTATTCTTCCAAATTACAGCGGAATATTTCCAATTTACCTAACAGGCCTATTCACACATAGTTTGAGTCTGCCAATAAAAATGCAGATTTTTACAGTAGTCTTTAAGATCTCGCTTCACAGTTCATTTAAATTTGACTACTCTCACAATTTGGGGAGTTAAACATGCAGATTTTGTTGGGAAAATATGTTAAAATTGCATTAAAGGGTCAATTTGGAGCAATATTTTGAGTGAGGTCGACTTTTGATTTGGCTCGGGTCAAAGTGGTTTCGAATTGTCCTTGTTAAAAGCTACAATTCGATATATGGTACACTCAAAAAGGATAACGGATGAATGAGAAATTGATTCTCGAAGTTCACTCGTTGAAATGGAAAAACTGGGAAAATGATGAGTTATTAGTGGGGAAAGATAATTTGGGGTTAGGATTCCTAAGGGGGAAGACTCTCTTCACGCGCAACGGGATGCCAATCAAATCACAAAAAACGGAGAAGAAAAACCGTGATTTGTGGGCGACCTGTGGACACGAATGTTGTCCAAAAATCCATCTTTCAAATGGACAGTTTTCGACATATTAATGCCTAACGTGCTGATCATTTATGCCCAACGTTCAGGTCCATTAAAGCTTTGTTAACACACCACAAATCCGTCCATATATATACCTGACAGGTGCTTTGTATCAACACATGTCATAGCACAGTTAGTACAACCGTTTTGAGCTAAAACACACCTCCAGTATTCCGAAAAATTCCTTAGTGTTCTTGCTTGGTTTCCGTTCACTGGAACAATTTGTTGAGTGCTTAAACAATTGTTTGTGGTCATTGTATCCTGTGAAACGCTCGTTGCAACGCTCCTAGCACCTACTGAGGCAACGTATACGTTTTAAGCACATCGTGCGTAGCATGAGATTTGTCTGATTTATGTTCCATCTTATTTTCTGTTTTTTTTTCTTTAGCTATTTCAATTAATTTTTATTAATTAATATTTCTTCGTTTTTCCAAGACACACCCAACAGATTTTATAGTAATCAATAAGATCTAACTTTGCACTTTTGAATTTTACTGTGACTACTCCATCAATTTATGTAGCTGTAACTTTTGGTTATGAAAGTAATTTTCACTTATAGTTTTTGGAATTAAAACTCTCTTCCACTATTTGTACATCATTGTTATAACATTCATTGCTTTTCATCAAAACCCATTAAAATCTTTAATGTATAAGAAGTTAAGATTATAAAAAGCAATACATGTTAATTATCACCTCTTTCCCCCATTCCATTTTCAGCCTTCTCCTTTCTGATCAATCCCACCACTTTCATCTCCTTACCGTTTTACTTCTTCCTCCATCTGCTATTATTCTTCATTACAAACCTCTCACCTATTTACCACTATTCTTTCTTTCTTTCTTACCAAAGTTGGTGGCTCGCTTCAAAACCAAAGGCATTCCAGCTTTACCCGCTGCTTCATTTCATACCAGCGGTGGCGACTCGATTCAAAATCGAAGGCATTTCAGCTTTACCTAAACCTGAGTTAAGGTTAGATTTCATTTTAAATTTTCTGATTTTTGACCTTCAATTAAGTTTCTTAATTTCAGTTCTAATTCTCACATGTTCAATTCTGATTCTCACTAATAAGTCTCCTTAAGGAATGAAGAACTTCAGAACAATGTTATTTTATTGTCAAATTATAATTATGTTCTCATTTGATATCAAAATAGATAATACGAGTATATTATAACTACCTGAATTATAAGGTCGTGTCAAGTTTTTTCACTTCAGTTATATTCAGTTGTTATCATATACGGAGTATGCATTAAAATACATACGTATTAGTAAAATTAAGCACAAGAGAATACATATATGCATATAGAATTGTCAGACTTATATAAAAGTACATAATTATAATCCGAACTATATTTATATGAGAATTGTAACTATATTTTTTTTTACATGTAGCAAATGAAACTGCATGTTAGTGATTGGAATTAGTAAGCTAAGTCACATCCTTGATTCTATAGTTTTTTAATAAACTCCATCATAAATGCACATGGTTTAGTTTCAAACTAATCAATCAAGACTTAATTATAACTATTGCAGTATACTTAAATTTCTATATGTCACATCCTTAATTATTGAGTGTGCATTAACACATGTCCCAATCCTGTCCAGTGATGAAACCTTTTCTGAGGACTTCCAAATGAAAATTTCTTCTGTTTCAGGTCACGAAGATAATCATACGATCGATGAGAGAAATCTTGAAGGCTTTACTCAAAGAAGAAGCAAAACTATTTCAATGAACCCACCAAACGAAGTCACTGAAGACGCACAACTATACTATGAAGTGGGATACTCATCTCATCCCATGATCACCAGAAGCCAATAAAAAAGACCGCAAGATGAATCAAACTACTTTCTCTACTCTGTTGACGACAGGTTCGACTCACCGAAAAAACTAGCAACAGCTCTCCGGCGCTTTAGGTTATCTCGTCCGGAGGAAATAACATTCAGACTTTACCTTAAGAGGGCCATCAAGTTCCACAACAAATATAACAGATCGCTCTCGGCTTCAATTGGGATCCCTCAAAATAATTTCAATTGTTGATGTATCATTTTCTATCTCTTCCTTTGTTTTGTTCTTCTTGTTCATCATTTGGATTCTCAACCCTTTGTACTCAAACTTTATTTTAATAAATTAGGGAGGTGTTCCCCGGCACTCCCCCACCTCGTGTGGCTTTAACCGGGTTTAAAAAAAACTCCAAATCTAGCATTCCTAGATTTAAAAACAACAAGAGCCCTGTTGGTGGAAATTGGTCGGATAAACTTGCAAAAAGCAATAGAAAAATAATATAACTCGAATCGCGTAAACGTTGTCCTCAAGAAAGTATTTCCGACTAGCGAAAACCTTTTCCGAAGATAAAACGAGCTCTTCGGCGTAAGCCGGTACCAGAACAACAAGAATATAATTACTCGTATATTAATCCAACAAAGTAATAGAGCATAAAATTTATGTTTTTCTAATCACTGCATATGATGAGTAATGTAATCTCTTTAGAATAATGAGGGATGAAGTTTTAGGCTAATTCACCTCTTTGCCTAGCTCCAAGCAAACGTATATATATACACGTATCCCAACACAAGAAATGAAATTTGCTACTAGGTGAAGAAGAAACGTTTGGCCATATTAAAATTGTGTAATGGATGCTTTAATTGATGTTATTAAAAGCACATTAATTTTTTATTATTAAAATTTAAAAGGGCAGAAGAGTAACGGTAGGTTACAGTCCTATTGGGACTTAAAACGTTTTAACATGATCTGCTTGCACATCATTAACATCAAAATTAACTCCATGCCCAAACCATTTAGAAATGATCGTACACGCATTTATTAGAAAATTTGATTAAGTTAAAAAATTATCAAAGTAATCGATACAAGTAAAATTTTATTCATTTGAAATACTCTTATTTTTCCAAAAGCCCGTGATGGATAGAATTTATTGCTTAAGAATAAAACATAGCAGATGATTAGCTTAGAAGTAGATATCATCTTTGGGTCAGTCATACTTAACAAGTTCTATAAACTACTAACCTTTGTGTTGTTTTTTAGGCTCAACTGGAGCCTTTTTGAATTGTGATAGACATCATTCCTAATTTCCTATAATGTTTGAGAAATCTTTGATAAAGACAAGAGAGTAAATATATATAATTATATATTCAAGGTATCTTTCTGTTGAAGGTAAATTTATTATTTAAAAACTTATTCTTTGTCAATTAGATGGATTCTCTTTGTTTGATATTTTGTGTCTCTGTGGGATTTACATGTGCATGAGCCTTGCTTGGCACACACCCGCCCACTGTACGAAACCCTCTTCATCCGAAATTTAAAATATTTTATATATTTTGATGGCTTTATGGTTTGTTTCAGCACTTCAAATCCCAGTTTCACTTCATTTCTCCAAAATTCTATGTTTGAGAACCTATTTACATGCAAGACCTGATATTAAATGATTCCTTTTTACCAATTTGGTTACACATATTTCAATTAACTATTCATAACTAAGATTAGTAGGTCTAAATATTATTTTGGTTTGAATCAACAATGGTGTAACACCTAAATTATATTTGAATTCATATAAATGCCTCTTTCTTTATTAATTCAAAAACTAAGTAAAAATTTGTTTAAACTCATATTAATCAGGATATTTCTTTGCTAAACTGATACAAATTTGCACTTTTCATGCTATGTAGTTTGTCTCCTTGCAATATGATGCTGAATACCTTCATGGGAGGTATTTCTATATGTGGCTACATGCTGAAGTTATCATACATGATCAGCTCACAAGTCACAACATATAAATTCATTATTATTGTTTTAGATTTTGTTCTGTTAAAAAGTAAAGGTTAATATGACAAGAAGCACACACACAATATATATAATTATTATGTGTCAGATTCAATAATGTTGGTTGTTTAGTGCTGTCTATTAAGGCTATTTGTACTTTTCATGTATCAGTGATCTTGCCTCTTTAAGCTTCCATACTGAGTTGATTTCTATTTCAATGCAATGTGTTTATTGTATTCCAATTTAGTATAATACTCATGCATTTATGATATCAGTGAATAAGACCAGGTCATTTTGCCAGGTGCAAAATTGATTAATTGAGATAGGATTGCAACCTTATTCACTTGGGAGTGACAAAATGAAAATGATTGACTTTGTTGAAAGGGTTTTCATTCTTCCATACATGCAATTGCTTCAATCTAATGTGATTAATCGTAGTTTTGGAGTTTATATCAACCTCCAATCTATCGTGACCCATGTCTTGACACCCTAAGATATAGTTGTTTATAGTGCTTAGAGGAGGTCTGATGTACTTAAGGAGGGGTGGTGCTTTTTTTAAACTACCACTAAAAAAGCAAGGAAAACTGTACTTTTTAAATACTTCTAAATATTTCATTGTAAGTGACTAATGATGATATAGGTGTAAAAGGTATTCTAAAACACAATTCAGTTTGTTTATCATAGGTTGTTTCAGCTATTTTAAAGGAAGAGGAATCCTTCACAATTTGGGCTAATTGTGGATGATATTAGAAGTTTGATGAAGTATTTTAATAACATTTCTCTTGATTGTGAGCAATTTTTTGTATGACAATTAAATCTGGCTTTTGTTTCCACCCAGTTGCATTTTGTGCACTGTGAGTCATGATTTAATTAATAATATTTGGTCTTTTGTTTAAAAAATAAATATGTCAAGTTTTTTTTCTAAAATGAAATACTATATCAAATATTCAAATATATTATTTATTCTATTAATTTATTTGGGGAACATTCTTAATATTGTGATATGTAATGTTCTTGGTGACATGTCTGTCAGGTTTAATGGGCGACGAGTTCATCTGATTTAAACTTCATGATATGTAACGAAGAAGAAAATTCAAAAAATGTCTTTTAGAGAGTGTTCAATATTAAAGTGATTATTAAACTTCTATATTAATTAATTAAGAATTTACCAATTCGTGAGTTAACTTAAACTTTAATTGTACGCATAAATTCAACATATTTGTTTATTTACATTTAATTTATAATAATTATAAATTACATAACGTGCAACGCACGGATGGATAACTAGTCGGTGCAATAGAAAAATAAAAAATCGTTCAAGGTTTCCTTTTCCCGTACATTAAAGTATCATAATTTTATACAATACTTATTTACTCAATAATTAATAATAATCGATTGTTATTGTGAAACAAATTTTAAGTATTTATTTAAAATTGATCGCAAATAATAATATATGAAAATATTGGGTACAATCTCTAAATATGAACCCCCTAGTTCTTCACTTGCAATTTGAAATAATATAATTAAAGAATTTAATTTAAAATTAAAACTCTAATAAATCCTTCAAAAGTTCGAACGTTCTTCGGATCTTTAAATCTTGAGATCTTCGAATCTTTGAATCTTCGTTCTTCAGATCTTCGAATCTTCTTGAATGAAGAATTCGGCTTGAAGGGCATCTGATTTACAAGTAGTTTGATCTTCAACAAAAGGGCCATTTTGTGGCTTAATCTTCTGTTAAAGGGCTTCCTGGGATATATGGCTTGATCTTGAATTGAATTTCGATTCAATCTTCATATGAATATCTTCAAATCTTCATAGTTTCGTTCTTCGAATCTTCAAAGCATTGTTCTTCAGATCTTCAAATCTTTGAGCTTCGTTCTTCAGAGCTTCGAACGTTTTTCAACTTTTGGATTTATTTTATCTAGAATGAACGAAATCACATAGGATTATTCGTATATTCTTAGTAAAATTCGTGGCTTGATCTCTTCCTCTTCTTTGGTATCATTCAGAGCCTCTCGGAAGTTCTTCAAAGCTTTTCTGCAGCGTTTCTTCGTCTGGAAGTTCACCTTCATTCCTCTCAACTGAGACCCCTATTTATAGGTGTGGAGGGGATGAAATATGCATTAGGGTTTAGCAAATTCGTCCATATGCCTAGAGCCTCAAATAAAATGGACTTTGGGCTCTATTTGCTTGCATTTTAATAGCTAGAAAAATCAGGACTTGTTCGATGTATTTGGACAGCCTTTTTAATAAGGTTCGCAACCATTTTCTATGCATACGGATGGATTTCTTAACGAGATTCATTGCTCTCTTTATCAATTGGATCGTGTCTCTAATACACTGAGCCACTATTTAATAATGGGCTCAAAATAGAGAAATTAATAGGGTTGATCCATTCTTTTAAAGATTTAATTTATAATTAAATTAGTTGGATATTTTAGATGACTCAAATGTGCCCATATTAATATTTTCCTTTTGACAAGGCCTAACTATCATTACGAGCAGCCCAGTAGAATCTGGCGTTGACCCAATAAGATGTAAAATAGGCCATTAGCACTTAAAAGAGTTCAATCTCTACCACACTTGGCCCAATAATTTTTAAATGTTCACAGTTAAATACAAGTCTAATTATAGTTGTAAGTTATAAATAAAGCATTAGAAAAATGAGAATAAACACAATAAATACAAATGAAATTATGAGATAAAAATTAGAAACATACGCATGCAAAATTAATTAAGAGACATAACACAATGAAATGTTCTAATTATAAAATATAAAATAGAGTATTACATTATATTCAAGCATCATGAGTCCGGCTACAAACATTGTATATATAATATACAATGCAATGATATTTATGTACGAGTTATTTAAAATAACACATACATAAATAAATGGAAATGAAAAAAATATAAGTTCAAGTCTTCTTAAGTAATACTATGACTAGATCCATGTATGGAAAATATGGTGATTAATATATATTGATTCCTTATTTCCTTATTATCCAGGTCAATTTCAACTCCACGATTCATTTTTAAACTTATCTTTATATTTGTAATCCTTATGACATATATGGTGAGATCGATGAAATGATTAATAATTACATATATCAAGTACCTAAGAGATAGTATTATGTAATGTAAAGAATATTATTGAACATAATTATCACTAAATAATGTAACAATATAATACTACCTAGTGTCATACCTTGTCATGTTTATAGGGAGTTGACCCATAGTATGATACTAATTGTTATCATCTTCATTAGACAAGATAAATTGAGGACGGGAGAATGTTTGTGTAGTAAATTTATACGTAATATTAATTAGTGTATCTCTAACAATATAACTATCATACATGTACTCTAATATAATTATATATCATGTGTTAATTTTAATACAACAAGTATGTGT